CAAGTTTGCCAATACAGTATTTTATGGAAGGCAGTTTTCTGTTTAAAATAAGGATATTTTGTATAAAATAAGGATAGCCCCCCATACAAGGATTAGTGTTGATATTTACAAAGTGCTTTGGATTCCTTCAAATAGGCAATTAAACAAGTAAACAAACACACTTATTATGTTTATTCTACAGAGAACAATATTAATAATGAGTTACATTGTTTCTTTGAGCTTATTGATGTTTTTAATAAGGAGAAAGGATATGTAAAACTATGCACCTTTGTGGATTCATCTATTCCTTTATGTAGTGCAATATTTTGCATGGCTTACAAAATATGGGAGCCTATTCATATCTTTTGAAACTATATTTTAATTTTATGTGGTTTGAAATCTTAAAATACATGACTGATAGATTTCTCAATGTTATTCTGTCAAAACACAAAGCTTCCCTTCTTCTTGTCCTCTCCTGACCTCTACTGGTGAGGTGTAGGTGTTCGTGTCTCTGGTCAACTTGATCCCGTCAGCCATCCTAATGCAGGAGACAAAAAAATATCTGAAGACATAAACTTCATTAAAGTCCTAAGATTTCTTATTCTAGAAGAGAAGGCTATTTAATATCCATTCATGCATTGTGTGTAAGTTTAGCCTTTACTATCTGGATTATTAATCATGTTAATAGTGGGAGGAGCCTTGGACCAGATAGAAGGGAAGCTAATACTTGTGTGGGTGATTGACAGTTGTTAAGTGCTTACTGGTCCTGCATATGGTTAAAAATATATAGAGGTTGAGAGGTAACAAACAAGACGCTGGTCCAGTTTTAGTCTTTATACTCTCCTTGCGCAAATAGGAGAAGGGGCAGTTGTGACTCATAGGGGACAGCAATTTAAGATAATTGAATGTACACTTCAAATGTAAGTTTAGTCCTTTGCTGCTAACAACCCTTGGGGGGCGGGAGTATACAACAATGTACCATTTTTTTAGTCAGTGGAGTTAATGGAAAGAAATAGAGAATGTAGGATGGAGACTAAACCCTCGGCATAATTTTCCTTTTGATACATGTTGTCATATCCTTAGGGGAGTAGAAGTTTCTTATACCCAGGTCTCCTATATCATTTTAAAAATTGCAATGATGAGCATATCTAGTACCCAGGTCTTAATTTTTGAGTATCATTTCCCATTAAAGAGAACCACTGTTTCTTAAAGAAATGGCTGTTGAAAGTGTAAGTAGAAAGCATATAAAGTGAGCCTGAATTATTTTGTGCCAGATAGGGTATGTCTAAGGATCCACTTGAAGGGAGAAATCTCCATCCAAATAAGAGGGGTCAGCTAAATGTGGGACAATTTGAACTTCAAAAAGAATAATGATAGTAGATTACAATACATTGGTAAAATAGCCCTTTGTATCATAGTGATATTAAAAAATGTGGAGGAGCTAGGAAGGAAATCCTTTTTAATAGAAAAATGTCAGTTAATCATATAGAAGGAATCATAGAATTAGAAAAAACAAACAAACATCATTTACCACTATCAGAATCAGAAATGATTCAGACAGGTATTATCAGTGATGGTAAGACCACTGAGTAGAGCTGTTAAGGAACAGATTATGCAATTAATAGCATTATGTGTTAATGACAAATAGTTCAAGATGCCAAATCATAGAAGTAGCAAGAAGGTGAGTTGGGGCCATATTGTGAAGACCCATCCATGGGGAACATTTTTGTAGATGATTAATGGGTGGCCAATGATGGATTTTAAACTGGGACAGGTTTTAAAAATTGTGGTGGCAGTGTAGAGGCTTTTTTAAGAGCATCAGGGTTGGGTAAGGAGTTAATGCTTTCATCTAGGAATTGGGATCACCTGAATTAGGGCAGAGGCCATGATGGAAACATGAGACATGGATGGGACTAGCAGAGTGTAGTTTGGATGTGGGAAGGAAGGTAAAATGAAGATTGAGAACAACTTAAGGTTCTAGTTTGTTTGACTTAATGAGTAGTGATGCTGTTAATTTATAATAGGAAAGAGGAGAGTAATAGCATGGTGAAGGAAATGGTTTTGGATATGTTGAATTTCAAGTATTTGCTGAACTTGTAGGTTGAAATTCTAGCTTGCTGTTATGTTCTAGTTTGTGTTGGTGTTAATCTAATTCATGGCAAGATGCTGTTCCTCAGCCTGTTTTTCTAGAGCACTTGAGTTCACATTTGTCACATGGTTTTCAATTAATTCTGGAATAGTCAGCTATAGCGTGTTTGGTGATAAAGTATATTTTATCCATAAATTATAGATTCATGAGTTGGAGTCGGAGAAAGACATTCACATGCATTCAAGTCTGGTGCAGCTGAACTGACGGTATCATGGACTTAACCTTTAAACCAGATTCAACTACTGATATATAATTTTAAAAATCCTATAGCGTGGGAGCTTTTTTCAAGGTGTATTATTTTTGTTTTTTGCTGCAGGGGAAAGAAAATCATGCTTCATGATTCTTAAAAGTTGTGTGTGTGTGTGTGTGTGTGTGTGTGTGTGTGTGTGTTGTCTTTGCATGTGAGAATTTATAGCATTTAAAATTATCTATATATATGATAAGCATTAGAATACCATAGAGTGCCATTACAAAAAGAGTACTTCTTAAAGTGATTAATTGATAATTCATAGTCATAAAAATGAAAGATAGGAAGAGACAGGCTAGATCTCAGCAGGGTTGTTCCTGGCAAAGTGTGTTGTTATACTCTTGGGTTGGCTTGAATTATGTGGTGCTTTCCTGTTGGTGGAGAAGAAGATATGCTTTGAATAAGTCAGAAAAGGAAGTGCAAACAAACCCCAAATGGCAGCTTAGATCAATCTTAATTTTTCATAGCTTCGTCTTCTCTAAAGTCACATTGATCAGAAACATAAATTAGATTTCAGTGCCCCACTGAGTTTTAAAATTAAACATATTTCTAGAACCATCTGCAACATTTTATCACTAATAATATAATGAAGGATATGCTTAGTCTTTTGAAAAATGAAATTTATAACGATACCTTTTGCTCACAAGTGATCATCTTTTATTAGAAAAACCCATCAAATTTTTTATAAAGAGTTAAGAAGTAATTAAAGAGTTTTAAAAATATGCCTAAAACTAAAATTCTAGAAAATATTCTTATTGGTGAGAATCTTTTTCTAAATTCAGGGTGGATTTTGGTGAAGCATATATTAAGTATATGGTGCACTGTTCTCCTTTGGGATTTTATGCCCATTTTAAGTCTCAAAATATTGATGGTGGGCATGTGCCACCTGCCTGTTTGAGGCTGGAATGTAGACAGTCAGTAGGAGCTATTGCCTTCATCTAGGAGTGCCATTGCCTGAGTTAGAGCAGGGCCATGTTGGAAGCAAGAAATAGATGTGGAGCTAAAAGTGCAGGTCCTGCAGCCAGGCTGTCCAAACTCAAACCCACTTCAAACTTGAACTTACTAGATGGGGGAATTTGGACAGTAACTTTACCTTTTTGTGCTTCTATTTCCTTATCTGTACAATGGGCATGGCTATGTTTACCTCATAGGGTTGTAGTGAGCATACGTTTGAGCATCAAAATGTATCCTTAGAATAATTTTCTTTCCTGTGAATCTTTCATTTCCATTGTTTTTTATTCTTATGCTTATTATACTTACAGAAGCCTGCAAAAAAGAAAATGTAGGTATTGAGAAAAAGGAACAAAATAGAAGAATCTCAGCTCACTTATAAGAGAAAATTATGCTGGGTGTTGCTCTCATGAAAATGAAATAATTAAGTGCCTACCCTATGCCTAGCACTGATCTGGGCAGTGGGGAAACAGCAACTTTCCTAGGGAAGAGCATGGGTTAGGTGTGCAGGCGACCTGGTACTGACCCCTCAAAGGAGGCAGGCTTGTTCACCTGGTCATAGGGTCACCACAGACTTCTTGGCTGAGGAGGGTGTTTTTTCTTGCCTGAAAGGATGGAGAACAAATATGCTTTCTGAGAGTTGTTGGCTTATAAGAATAGGGACTGAGGGCTGTACGCCCAGTTCTTTTTCTAAATTTACTAACCACATAGTCACTCTACTACCTTAGGAGCGAGTAAGAGATTAGACAGCAGGCCCAGTTCCTTAGGAAAACAATATCCTTCTCCTGGCAACCAAAGACGTGAGGAAGAAGCACTTTCTGTGCCACCTTCCCCATTCCCCAGCTTTGCTCCAGGCCCCTATTTAGTGTGACCTACAAGACTATGTTTCCATTCAGCCTCATCGAATGCTGATTATCCCAGAACTCCATCCACTCATGCTTCTTAGAGTATTCTCCCCCACATTGCACTTGATGAAAATCCTGATAATCCTTCCATACCTTATGAAAGGCTCATCTTCTGCCATCCATCGGGCGGGTGTGACCTCTCCCTCCACCATGACCTTACTCTTACCCTTCCTGACACTGTGTAACAGCACCTGTCACAGCATGTTTCCATATCAGTCACCCTGAGCAAATGGCGAACTTTCTTTTTCAGTAGCAAGTGGTATTACTTTTGTATAATTTTTCAGTAGCATAGTGATAATTAAATATTAATCACACCATGAATCAATAAATACCCAATTCCTTAAAAAAGCAATTCTGTCACTGAAAACATTACAAAGCTAGAACTCAGTAAAATGTGTGAGGTGGGGAAAGGGAAGAAAATGAGATTTTGAGGTTGTGTTTTTGTTGTTAAAAGATAGTTCAAAATATTTTTAAATTTCCTTTTGGTTTAAATTTGTATAATAGAGTATGTTGGAAAATTTCAATAATTCCCTTCTCTTTACCTATCCCAGTGAAGTACCTCCTGTGTAGCTTTAATTTTTGCTATGGAATTCCATTGATACAACTGTAAAATTATTAATACAACTTAATAATAGAATACTTGCTATTTAATATAGCATAACTCTTTCAGCAGTTCTTTTTTAGCAGCATTTTCTTAGACATTGTTTTGAAATTTGTAAGTAAAGAAGCCTTGAACAAATAATAACAATAAATTTCAATTTTGTTTTAGCAAAAGCACCTGGAAATTGAAAGAACTGCTAAGTGGTTGAAAATGCTAAAAGGATGGGAAAAATACAAGAACACTGAAAAGGTAATTAAAAATAATGTTACTTCTTGGTGAAACTATAAAAGTTCAATGTGGATTTTCCCAATAAAAGTTTCTATTTATTTATAAAACTATTACATTCATATTCTTTTTTTAAAAAAATGTATTTTATTGACTTTTTACAGAGAGGGAGAGGGATAGAGTGTTAGAAACATCGATAAGAGAGAAACATCGATCAGCTGCCTCCTGCACAACCCCTACCGGGGATGTGCCCACAACCAAGGTACATGCCCTTGACCAGAATCGAACCTGGGACCCTTAAGTCCACAGGCTGACGCTCTATCCACAGGGCCAAACCAGTTAGGGCTACATTCATATTCTTAAAAAAACTTTTTTAGTTTAATTGAATTTAGTGGAATGCCTCAAAATAGGATTCTTTTTTTTTTTTTTTTTTTTTTCTTTTTAAGGTTTTGTTTATTTGCTGGGAG